CAGACCCCAGTTCCTCAGATGATGAAAAGGGATTGTAAGAATACCTATCCAATGGTCGACATGAAGATAAAATGAGATCAGATATGGAAGAGCTTAGTGTGGTGCTTGAAACAGAGTGGAGACTCAAGAAATTATGGCTTTTAAACACAATAATGGGTTATGGTTCATCTACAAATTTGCAGAAACCCACGTCCTGTGTTTTCTATCTGGCCATGTGGAAGGTAAACTGCATCCTGCCTGTGTTTGCGTCACACTCAGGAATCACTGCAGTGGAAAGCTGCTCCTAAGATGTCCTTCAAGAGCCAAAGTAGAATTCTTGGCTGAGAGACGGACTGTTGCCAGAGCTGCCTCCAGACTGTCTCTCAGTCTCCTTGCAGCAGACGTGATACAAAGTTTTTCACTTTATAAATAATTCCTCTATTTCGCAAAAGGAGTGATTTTTTTTGCAAACCAGGGTTGGTTTAGAGTCAGCCTCTAGTAGTGCCTGACAGCTTTTGTTGCTCTGTAGAGAGCAAGGAGCTCTTGCTGGGAGAAGGAAGCTTTGTTGGGCGATGGGAACAGAGGGGTGGTGGCAGCACGTCACCACTTCACTGGGGCAGCAGCCAGGCAGCACTCAGGCAGCCCTTTGGAACATGGGCCACACTGTCAGCTGTGATCAGCCAGGGCCTGGTGAGACCCGCCTGGCTTTTGCCAGAGTGGATGGACACTGGCTGGAAATCCTCAGGCCTGAAGCTGGGTCCTGCCTCAGAAGCAGCCCCACCAGCCAGCCAGGTGCTGGGAGCTGCTCTCCCACTGGCTGCCCAGACCTGCCCTCCTGTGTAACGGGATGTTCCCTCTTACCTGTTCTCTTCTTCACATCTCAGCGCTGGCACACTTCCTCAGGGACCAAGGTTGCATTGCCCTGTTCTAACACCTTGGACTTGTCCTTCCAGCCACTGTCACATTTGTCTTTTTACTTTGGCCAGACAAGTGTTGCCTCCTTGCTAAAATACAAACTCCTAGAGGGTAGGGGCAAGGTCTGTCAGCATTGAGCCTGATACCAAGGAGGCACTCAAGTGTTTGCTGGATGCATAAACATGGAACAGAACCAGCCACTCAAACAGTCAGGCAGGTCTCCAAATATTTTTATCATCGTTGTCATTGTAACAGAAATAATAACAGCTTGTATTTGTGGAGTTATTAGGATGTGCATATCATCATACACATGTATCTCACTTAAGGTCCTCCCGATCAGGATCTTAGTGAGCTAGCTAGTATCATTATGGTGATTATTTTTCCAAGGAGGAAACTAAGCAATATGCTCACAGCGAGTACTTAGAGTGGCATCTGAACCCAAGCTGTGATGCACAGGCCCTTGCCGCCAGCTACCTGCAGGCAAGCTCAAGAGTGAAGCCTGAGATAATGTTATAATGTGCATGGACATGACACTGATACTAAATCGCATAATGATAAGACTGTTGCCTCCTTCTGTTCCAATCCCAATTGCCCCAGGACAGCCTCCCTTTGATGACAGCATATTTGTAACACCTCCCCAACACAGAAAGAGAAGGCCAGCCAGGAACTGCACAGCCCACAGTCATATCTTGCTAGAATGTTAATGATGGTGTTCTGTGCTTTCATTATAAGTATTTTTATTTTTGTGAGACAGGTTCTCACTCTGTTGCTCAGGCTGGAGTGGCACAATCACGGCTTACTGCAGCCTCAATTTCCTGGGCTTAAGTGATCCTCCCACCTCAGCCTCCCATGTAGCTGGGACTATGGGTGCGCCCCACCACACCTGGCTAATTTTTAAAATTTTTTTATAAAAATGGGGTTTTGCCATGTTGCTAAGGTTGGTCTCCCTTCCAAAGTGCTAAGATTATAAGCATGAGCCACCATGCCTGGTTTTTACTTAATTTTATAATTATTATACTTTCTATTTAGAGCACATGGTTTCTGTTTGAGTAACTGATGTTGTCTCTTTCTAAAGCAAAACTCTTGATGAAAAAAAGGTTATCGAGTAAAAGAAAAATATTAAGTGAATAATGGTGGGGGGAATACCCAGGTGTACCAGACCTCATGGTGGTGGAAAGGGTGATGGTAGTGGCAGGACCCAGCCTGGGGGAGGCTGTGGAAAAGAGGCCCCGCCTGCCTCTTCTGAGGACCCACCATGTGGCCACTGTCCTGACATGGCTGGGAGACATCATCTAGCCTCTGATTGTATCTGTCTTGCATTGTTCTCTGATAATTCCCTGCCTTTTCCTTTCTCTCTCTGGTAAACCACAGGCTTTTAATGTGCAAAGAGTATGTCATACTTCTGCATGTCCCCAGGCACCAAGCACTCTGTTCTGAGTTGCTCCTGATTCATGGGCTCATCTCTTGAGGGCTTAACTGCCATCAAATGCCTGACTTTAGCGACTGGTATGGATTAATCACTTAGTCATGGTATTGAGGGAAAAGGCAGATGTGGGCTTAGAATTTTCCTATTATAAGCCTCACTAGGCATCTCATTCCTTCTGGGCTGACTTGGGTCCTGATGGCGACAGCAGGGAGTGGAGACAGCTGGTCTAGCAGGGTAGCGAAGCTACATATGGAGAAGACTGGAGAACTAGGGCAGAAGAGGAAACCAAGGGTAACCTGTCTAGAACACTGGATGTCTAACCAGCTCTGGTAACATATATACAGTACATCCGTATTTTAACCTACTTTATATTTAATTTCCATAAAAAACGACAACCCCAGTGGTGATGACAGTGACCAACACTAACATGTTGTATCAATTAGAAAGTATTATTGTTCCAAGTGAAAGAGAGATGGAAATGGACTTAGAGCATAGGGATTGGGGTGCCGGATGCATGTCTAGTTCAGGTGAGGCATGATGCAGTGCCTCCGACAATGTCACTGCAGGCCTGATTCCCTCCAGGCTCTGGTCCGTCTTCCATGGCTTCGCCTTCAACCTGAGACTCTCCAGTAGGGCAGATGGCGTTTCTTCCCTGGAAGCTCCAACCAACGTTGCTGATGTGTCACTGGCCCTGACCGGGTGGCATGCTCATGCCTGTTTAAACACCTGTCCAGAGGGTGAGGCATGCTGTTTGGGCTTTGATTCCCACCACTCTCCCCACCCCTTGCCTACCTGTGTGGCTCTGGCAAGCCACCTCCCCTTCTGAGTCTCAGTTTCTGCATTCGGAAAATGGGGATAACGGCAGCACAGTAGAGCTGTGAGGATGAAACAAGAGAATGCGGGACAGGCAGTGAGACCCTCTGTGGAGCATCTACCAGGTGTGAGGCCCCGGTCTAGGCACCGGGGCCACAGTGGTGGACAGGGAGATGTGACCTGCGGCTTCCAGTAATGTCGCAGGGGTGACAGACACTCTCCAGATCAGCCCAGAAACAGGATCAGAGAAAGAGGCATCTTCAGAAATGCTGAAGGATGCTCTAAGGAGAAGTCCTGGGTCTTCCCTGGAGCATCAGCAATGGGTGACTCAACCTAGCCTGAGAGGTCAGAGTTTTCCCCAAGAAGTTGTCCGTGACCTGTAATCTGAAAAGAGAGTTGATGGTGCAGCAGAGCGTCCCTCATAGACTCATGGTATTGCTCCTCCCAGAACCCACAAAGTCCATTCATACCGTGCACTTCCACCTGTGTGGAACACTCCGCATGACAGTGTGGGTTCACCTCTTTGAGTTTCTGCTCAAACGGCTTTCCTCTTCACTCCACTCAGAATGGTGCCATTTTCTTCTCACTGCGTGTCTTTCTCTGCCCTTTCCATTACTGTCTTTTTCATCAAGCCCAATGTCATATTATTGAATTCTTTGTTTTGTCTTAGTTCTTGGAGGCGTCTCACGGAGGCACTGTCTTGTTCCCAGGTGGAAGCTTAGTACTTAGACAAAGTGTCTGACTGCCAGTAGGTGCTTAATAAGTAGTTGAATGAATAAAGGGAAAAACTTAGGACCCTTTTACATGTATTTTCACAGTGATATGAGTTGACATCTCAGTAACTAAGAGTTTAATCCTAAGGTTTTTTATTTATTTATTTATTTATTTATTTATTTATTTATTTTATTTTATTTTATTTTTTAAAGTCAAATGATTCCCATTTCCTCCCCAATCCATCAGCACGTTCCAGCAGGAGATTTTGTTCTCTCTGAGCCCTACATCTCTGAGAAGGTATCAGGTCAAGTCCTGCCCCCCTGCATTTCTGAACTTGAGTTATGACTTCCGGGCTTGATCGCGTTACTCTTTTGTTTAACTGTGTCCTGCTAAGGTGGTTTGAGCTCATTAAAAACACAATTGTGAAATTTCTTTCAGAAGAAAATGCGTCTGTGCCCTAGCTTGAGAAGTTCTGTGAAGTCCATTCCTTATTCTAGGTTTTGAAAGTTCCAGAATCAGGCGGGCTTAGATTTCTGTTCCGCCTTCCCTCACCCTCAGTGGCTTCTCCTCCGCCCCATTGGTTTTCGCTGCCCTCTCACCATTCATTTCCTTACTTCTCTTTCAAGTTTGAACTGTTCCCAGGTGTGAGGGAGGAGGAAAAGTAGGTGGCATACTAGGAATGCAGGACCTTCAATATCTTTTTTTTCTCTAACACTGAGGACAAAAGTTTAAATAGTTTCATGTAAGGAAGAAAAGCTAGCTGGTTTTTTTTTGGGGGGGTGGGGGGAAAACCCACAAGCCTCAACAACAATGAATCACCTGCACTGTATAAATTCCTCTATTTTTAACCACTGCTTTTGATGTTTAATAGTGACAACTTAGGTTTGGAGCCCAAATTCATGTTCAACTCAGCCAACATTTACAAATGGATTTCTCAGGACCACAACAGCACTTTAGGCTGTTGTAGGACTTCGTTTCCTGCTTGTGGTAGATTGCAGATAGACCCAGTGCTTCACACCTCTCTGACTACACCCTTTACCATGGTGTGCCCTCCTGAGTCACAACAGCTTGGCCATGGGACTTGCTTTGGCTATTGGGATGTTCATGGAGCCAAGAGAGGCTTGCAAGGGGCCTGTGTGTTAAGCTTTCATCTCTGGAGCCCCTTCTTCTGCCATGAGAAGGACATACCTGACTGGCCTGCTGGAGGAAAAGAGACTTGGGGAGTAGAGGTGAGTAATTCTCATTGTCTCAGTCAAGATCAACCCGGATCCTCCAGCAGCTATCCCCAGACAAATTATTGAGTCCAGCAGGGGGTCTAGGCAGTCCACAGAGCTGCCTAGCCACTGGATGCTTTGCTGACCATCATTGTGGTTTGAGGAATGCTTGTAATGCACATTATGTGGCAATGGATAACCTATCCTCAAAGGACTTCCAACCTGGTGAGAGACAAAAGTTTACACATAACCATAATTACTACAACTACTACCACTGGTAGGTAACATTTATTCAATGCTTATTTATTTTGCTCCAGGTCCTATATTCAATGCTTCACTGTCATTTAATCTGTGCTACAATGCTTATCCTCAGTTCACAGATGAGGAAACTGAGTCTCAAAGAGGTGCAGTGACTTGCCCGAGGTCACACAGCTAAGCAACAGGGAAGTCGGTATTTTGATCCAGGTCTATTTGACTTCAAAGCCCATGAATGAGGCCATTATGCTTTTCTGCAAGTCTAAATGTTTTAGCAGTTACAGGAGGATCTCAACGTATTATTTTTTTAAACAGGCAAATCAGGTTGCTAGAAGGGGCAGCATTTGATCTGGGACTTAAAGTGGCTTTGGTCAGGATTCCATGCAATGAGGTGGGAATGAAGGAGTGCTTATGTGAATATTTTTATTCTGCAAACAGATCAAGGTATTTGGCAGCTGCTGGAAAGTTTTCCACATCCAGTGATTGGCTGCATTTGGTGGACAAAGGAACTCATCACTATATGAACTTTAAAGGGATACAGCTTGTGAAAAATTCCTCTGATAAAAGTCAAGGCTACTTCAAGGTAATTAAAACACACAGGTGTGTTTGTGGCATGTTGACTTAACTTATTCAAAAGCATCTCTCCCATTTACCTGCTAAGATGCTTGAAATTCCCACCTTTGGCTGAGGCATTGAAGGCTCCAGTTAAAGTACACACATGTTGTTTGAGATAAGTTCAGATTGTGTGTGTGTGTGTGTGTGTGTGTGTGTGTGCATTCACGCGGTCTGGTTCAGGGCTGCTAGGAGGGATGGGAAAGGTATGAGTTAGAGGCATTGCTGAAATAAAACAAATACCAAATTCAAGAGGTTCCAAAAATAAATCGACTTCCTTTACCCTTTTCCCCTAAGGGCTGGGTGCTGTTGAGAGATGGAATCTCTGTGCCCTTCCATCAAGAAGTGGTCTGTCTATGGATGTGAGGCTCCAGGTTAGTGTTGCATTGGATGGTTATATAATGTGCTGCTTCGGGGTCCAAACAGCCACTCTTCCTCTCTTCCCTGCATAGTTTCTACTCCCACCAGAGATGGTTTTGAACGAGCACTCATGTCTTGCCTGCTAGAACTGTGGCATTTTAGACTTTCTAGAAAAAAACGAAGTATTTATTTCAGTAGCTCTTCTCATTCCCTGACCAATGAACCACCATAGCCACTCTGCTGCTGGTTCTGGAGACAATTACCATTAGCAGCATCCATGTTCTTGACAGCCTACTCCACTATCACAGTAAATTGAGACAAAACACATCGGGATGCTTTTGACTGCAAGCGGAAGAAACCTAACTTGAACTGGCGTCAGCAAAGATGGAGATGTCTTGAAGGTCCAAGGAACCATGTTGGGTCCAGGGCTTATGACTCAGCCTCAATTCCCTGCTTCTACTTTCTACTGATTTCTCTGTGTTGGCACCATTCCCGGAGAGACTTTTCACCTCATGATAACAAGTACTGCTGGCACCCGCAAGCTTCCATCTGATTTTCTCAGCAGCTCCCCAGAAAAACAAAAGAGCCTCTTTTCAAAGTCCCAGAACTGAATTTCCTGGGTCCTGAGCAGCCAGGCTTGGCTCATGGGCCTATCTCTGGACAAATCACTATATTTAAAGTTGTATTAATTTCTTATTGTTGCTGCAACAAATCATCATGAACTTAGTGGTTTAAAACAATACCAACGATTATCTTATAGTTCTGGAGTTCAGAAGTCTAAAAACAGGTTGGAAGGGCTGTGTGCCTTCTGGAGACTGAAGGAAAGAATTCATTCCCTTTCCTTTTCCATTTTCTAGACACTACCTGCGTTCCTCAGCTCAAAGCCTTGTACCACTCCAACTTCTGTTTCCATAGTCACAGCTTCTCTGACTCTGACCCTCTCCCACCCTCTCATGAGAACATTTAAAAAAATTACATTGCCCACCGCCCACCACCCCCAATAATCCAGGATCATCTCCCATCTCAGTGTCTTTAATCACACCCTCAAAATCCCTTCTGCCGTGTTAGTTGACATATTCACAGGTTCTGAGGATTAGGACATGGACATCTTTGAGGGTACCATTATTCTTCCTATCTCAAAGATGATGTGGTGGTCTGATTAGTTAGTTCATAGTCACAAGCCTGGAACTGGAGCATCCCCTGAAACCACGTGGACCGAGATGGGGAGGGGTGGTTCCCCAGGGGAAGATGTGGTCCATTACCAGACCTGGAGGGATGGGATGCTGGCAGGGCAACAACAGCAAATGTTCACAGCAGAAAACACAGGAAAAAACTTCAGGACTCTCTTGAACAATTTTTGTTCCTTTTGGGATCACCTGATTTCTTTTAGGCTTTGAGCACATTTGATTGACAGCACTAAAGTTCAGAATGCATTGTGATCATTTTATTTCACTGGGAATATTATACACAGTGTATGTCATTTGTAAAGCAAGGGATTTGGAACCTGGCACTTCCTCCAGTGCATTGTAGAATGAACCACATGCCAATGATGGGAGACACAGTTAAGAGTTGGACAACACGGAAAAGCGCTTAATTACTTGGTTTCTGAGTAAGTCCAGAGTTCTTGCTGCTGCGGGTGGGTGGGGAGAAGAAATTCCAGCATGATGGAAAACTACATAATGTATTATGTTACTCCCCCTTAAATCCCTTAAATTAAAGGAAAAACAATCTTCAAAGAATCATAAAGCACATAAAGAGACAACTGGAGGGGATGCTCATCTGAGATAAATTGCAATATTCTTAACGGTTGGGTTTCGAATCAAAATGTAAGTGGTAAGGTCTCAAAGTAACAGTCGCACATCTGCTGACTTGGAAAAAGTTGAGGGAAAATAAACACAATGACCAAGCCGTGCACTTGGCCGAGCCCCAGCAGTGTCCTGATACATGACTTCTCCTAGGGGCACATTGGATGCTGAGGCAGTGAAGGCAGATCAAGGAATATTGGCAGACGTCTGCGGAGAAAAACACCTATTCATTTGTGTCCTCTGTAGAGGTCATCATGACCTTCCATCAGAGATTTTGGAATGGAAACTAGACAGATGGAGAGGCAGTGAGTTGTCAATGATACATAGAAGAAAATGGGAACCATTAAAATCCTAGGTATGAGTTCCAGAGGCAGCGCTGCTTAAGTGTTATGAACTCTCCCTGGAATCATGTGGAGTTAAATTTGAATCCTGATTGACTGCCACTTAATAGATACATGGTTGTAGGCTGGTTACGTTGACCTTTCAAGCCTTAGTTTTTTAATCTGTGAGATGGGGCTAATGTTAGTATAAATTTTGTTGAATTGTCATAAGGGCAAAACAATGATGGAAACCACCAACTTGCCACCGAGTTACATAAACTGTATGTTTCCTTTGCACATTGCTTAGCCTGGAATCCAGGAGGCTTTGTGATCTTGCCAAGTTTCCAAGCCGGCTTTACAATGAATTACTTCATATTTTAATTGAGGTTACTTTAAGTATATTAATTTAGAAAGGAATTTTATGTCAATCACTACCATGCATAGTAAGCTCAATTCCACGGCCTGACAAAGGCTCCAAGCCTGTGACCTGCTATCCCTTTGTACAAACCTATGGCCTGCTATATCCCTTTTGTATCCTTTTGTACAAAAATCCCTTTGTACAGCTCTCTCTTTGTTAGAGAGCTGTTAAAGACACATTGAGTCATTGCCCTGGCCATTGTCAGAAGCCAGAAGAACAGCAGGAAAGGGAGCTCTTTCGCTTGAGAGCTGGTGTTGGCGAGTGTCACTCCAGGCTGCTGCCTCAAATCATGGTGCCCGGCTTGCTTTAGGGACCAAGGACAATGCCGCCTCCTCTGATCATCCAGCGGAACACACCGTCCTCTTCTCTGAGCTCTGTGCAGCATTTTATGTTCCCAGCATCCTGGATCTTTGGCGATCTATCCCTGAACTTCCTTATCTCAACAAGAGTAGAAGCCCCAGAGGGCAGGGCCAGCTCCATCCTGGTATTTGGCTAGCACCTGCTGGTGCCTGAGAGGCTCATCCAGGGTTGGTAGATTTTTAATCCCAGTGAAGACAAGTGACTGTCGGCTTCGAGCTACTGAAGACCATAGACCCAGAGAGTGGTCTAAACAGCCATGATACCTCCTGTGTCTGAACATGGTACCCAAAAACCTCCTCCTACTCCTTTCCTCCTTTTAGCTGATTAGTATATTTTCTATTCCTCCAGCCATCCCCCAATCCAATTACTTTTGATTTTGTTGGAGATGGAAATTTTAATTCCAAAGAGATAGTAAGTATTATGGTCTGAATATTTGTCCTTTCCAAATTTATCTGTTGAAATCCTATCCATGAAGGTGATGGCAGGAGGTGAGGCCTTTGGGGGGTGATTAAGTCATGAGGGGTGCAGCCCTCGTGAATGGGATTGGTGTCCTTAAAAAAGAGACTCCCGGAGAGCTGCCTTGACCCTACCACATCTGAGGATGCAGTGAGAAGTCACCATCCACGATGAGAAATCGAGCCCCCATTAAACACCGAATCTGCCGGCACCTTGATCTTGGTTTTCCAGACCCCAAAAATGTGAAAAATAAAACTCTGTGATTTATGGTGTTTTGTTATAGCAGCCCGAACAAACAAAGATAATACTAAAGTGATCCAAATTCTGGCCCAGCACGAACAGAAGATATCGTGAGTATGGGGTTTTTCTTATTTTCAGAGCATCAAGTGCAAAAACAAACAAACAAACAAACAAACAAAAGCTTGGATTCAAGGGCTAGGCAGGATGGGATGGGAGTGGGGGATGGAGAACTTCAGCATCAGCTTCAATTCTGGAAGCTTGAGTGCTACTGTAGTTACTGCAGCTGTGTACCAATTTACCCAGAGTTTAGTGCTGTAAAACAAACATTTATTACGCTCACGGATTGTGTGGGTGGGAAATTCGGACAGGGTACAGTGGGACAGCTATTCCTCAGTCGGAAGTCTTGAGGGCTGGGAGCTCAAATCATCTGAAGGCACATTCACTCACAGGTCAGTGGCTGACACTGGCGGTCGGCTGGGAGGCCTTGGTTTCTCTCCATGTAGGTTTCTCCATGTGATCTCTCCAAGTGGGCTTGTTAGGGCTTCCTCCTGGCATAGCAGCTGTGTTCAGAGGACAGGTGTCCCGAGCCATCAAGCCAGGTGGATATTGTAGCACTTATTTGGACTCCCCTCAGAAGCTGCTCTGGTCACTTCAGCTGCTTTCTAGTTTTCAGAAGCTGGTCATTAAGACTAGTGGAGGGCAGGACCGAATTCAACCCCACTTTTCAGAGATGAGGTCTCGCTATGTTGCCCAGGCTGGTCTTGAACTCCCAGGCTCAAGCAATTCATCCACCTTGGCCTCTCAAAGAGCTGGCAGATGTGAACCACTGCCGCTCCCCCACCCTCAACTCCATCTGTTATGAAAGGAGGGTCCTTTGACCACGAGTGCCCTGAGAAGTGAGGAGGGCTTCCCAGTCTCAGACATTTTTATCTGAGCTGGAGATGGGGACAGTCTCCCACACACAGGACTTGGAAGGCTATGAAGGAAATAGGGGGCTCTTGGAGGCCATTTCCGATGGCGGGGACGGTTGTGTGAATGAACTTGGCCTTTAGGGAGAGGAGCCCGACTCTCCCCTGAAGCCACCCCATCTGTGCGGATGGCTAAGGAATCCCTGGACACCCCAGGACCGCTAACCCAGGATCTTTGTTGACTTTGCCCCCAGGCCACTGCCCCACCCGCAGGCTCTGAACTCCTGGGAGAGGTAGGGAGCCAGCCTGAGGCGTGAGTCAAGAGTGTAAAGTACACTGAGCTCCTTGGCAAGCAGGCTCTTCAAGGGGAAGGTGTCACTCGGGGAACACTGAGAAATGTGTCTTTCCCTCAGGCCCTGATAGAAAAGATAACACCCCTTGAGCACAGCTTTTTCTCATCTGTTCTTGCTCTTGGATGGTGGTGGGGGGGGTTGCTACTCCGGAGCAGCGAACTGGCGGGCGGGGTTGCGCCTGTGAGTGCGCGTGTGCGTGTGTGCGCGCGCTCTCGTGGCCTTCCA